ATCCCCCCCCCCCCCCCCCAGGGACCACGGTATTGTTCAGACAAGTGTAGGGCAGTGGGAGTGTTAACTATTAACTATCTCTGGTGTGGGAAGACCAGAAACTGGGCAGAAATTGCAAGAAATTTTGAGCATCTGAGAGTACAATACGACGACGTTCATTTGTCTCAGCTAATACGAACAGGGAATCACATTCTACCATAAGGGACAATGATCTTGATCTATTTGTTCGTGGTATCTTACAAGTAACACCTAGAATTGGCTATAGATTAGTACAAGAATATTTATATTTCTTTTGTAAACATCCAGACGGCGAGAAAGATATTCGGCTGAATCAGCAATGTTTGTGGTTAACTTCCGTTTCCTGACTTCCTCTGTATTTTAGTTCTTACTTCCGTTTCCTTTCGATTTGTATTTTTGACTTTTCGATTTATTTTTATGAGCCGCGGCTTTGACTTATCATTTGGGAGTTTCGCTTTATAAATAGAAGTTTGGACTTGCGTTTAATTTTCATATATATCCTTTGAGATTTGAAATGTATTTTGCATTTTTCAAGTATATGCTTTAAACTTTCGTTTTATTTTTTTGAGTTTGAACTTCATCTTGATATTTTCAACATTATATTGAAAGTTATAACATGTTTATATGATGTTTGAATATTACTTATTGACTTGAAATAATTTTGACCGGGATGGAACGCCATATTGTACTATTATCTTTCTCAAAGCGAATATTTCCCTTTTTTCTGCTTCGCAAAACTCATGTAGTTTTTCGACCGCCATCTTGTTTTTCGCTACTCGCCGTATATGAGCTGATATACGGCGAGTAATTCAACCAATCAGATTGCAGAACAGCTCATATACGGTGAATGACTATATTATAATGAGTATTATACGAAAGTTAGTACTACCTCTTCTCCGTAATGACATTTAGCTTTTCTCCAGTTTTGGTGTGCACAACGATTTCTACATCTGCCCAGATTGCCCAAATTGTAGTGTCGTCATGACCAATGACGCAAATATATTCCATATTCGAATTCGGACCACAAACCTGGAATGATTCTCGTGAATTCGAACTTGACGAAACATAAATTTTTTTACCTAAACAAAAAATAATAATAACAATTCGCTGAGATCAATCATTATAATAAAATATATGTTATATAAGAACATTTTTGGTTGGCTGAAATGCGTGCTCAATAACTCGATTGAGCACGGCAAAAAAGCGCGATAATTTTTTGGGAAACATTCTCGACAATTTTCAAACTTTTTCGAATCAGTAAAATTTAAATGGTAATTTTTACGAGTACAAATTATTGTTAATGGACGATAATCAAGGCACTAGACCTGAAAATTATAGATTTAAAATTGTTAAGCAATGAAAATTGTTAAGCCAACCAGAAAGCTACTATTGTCTAAACAACGGAAGACTCTATCACAGACATTCGTTATTTGCCCAGCTCAGAATATAAATGTCTTGCAGGTCAGACTAGGACCCAACTCTAAATGGAGTATATGTTCTAGCCGACTACGGACCCATCTCAAAATCCGCGCGGTAAAAGTATATGTCTTGGGCAGATTAGGATCCAGCTGCAAATCAGTATATGTCCCAATGGACATTCCCCAAGATCCAGCTTTTCAATACGAGTATATGCCCAGGGAACCGCTCAGTACCATGCAGCTCTTCGCATATACAAAATACCGTATATAGAACAGTTGTCCCACACTTCCATAACCCCACAAACCTTGTGTTCCTTATGCGTGTCGTTATTAAATATCTCGCAACAGTCTGTTTCATCATTAAAGAATCATCAGGCGGTATGATTCTTGCGAAATTCTACATTTGCTCTATCTTTATGATATAAACCTACTCGTATATATATATATATATATATATATTGTCTTTATTCGATAAAAGTTAAAAGTTATTTTTATATATATATATATATATATATATATATATATATATATATATATATATATATATATATATATATATATATATATATATATATATATATATATATACAAACTTGAGTTACTTCGTTTAAAACATTTATTCACGACAAATTTGTTTCGTATGGCAAACTAGGCTTGCCACACTCATCAGGTGAATGGTGATATCGCGTATTTACATGATGTTATAACCTATAGGTAACTTGAGCTGTTATATACAAATGTTTGACGTCATTAGGAAAGCGTAAATATATGTTTGTAATCTGACAACTGGCTACAGAGCAGGAATTTTTTCCTGTGCCTACATGCCGATATTAGTTCGTTTCTTGAGTTTAATGAGCTTAGTTTGGGATAGTAAATTATAACGAACTTTTCGTGCAGGCATAATTTACAACGTTTTGTTTTGTTTTGTTTGAGTGGGCCTTCCAATTTTCCAACGAATAGAGTATTCTATGTTGGACTGTTTCAACTGCCAAATATATTTACTCAGTTCAGTTGAATGTTTATGATCCGGGTTCCTGAACGAGCTTCTATGGTTGTAGTATCTCACTTTAAATGGGCCCGCTGTGTGTCCAACGAAGCCGACCATTGGAATGTTGTTAATATTTCGCACCTTCCGAACTTTCTCGAACTTGAATCTCCAATCTGTATTAATTTACAAGCATAGCGAACCAGATGAGTGTTAAAAATTCAGTATAATATATATCTAATCATATTTTATAACTGTAGCACTGAGTTCAAAATGTAAACAAAGCGTTTGTTTACATTACCGACTTTACATCACCTGTAATGTACGACCACGGTTAATAGGTACGACGAAAATGAGCCGAATTCTTTTAACCTTTGAAATTTACGCTTCTGATTTTGAATCACTGAGTCAATGACTTTAATCGTGGTCGGGGACTTGAGCTATACCTACTCCGCAGGCCTTTTCGAAATTTCAATTTCTAACCTGCCAAACGGGCATCCTCTCACAGGGGGCAGAAAAGTACAATTGTGTTATAAATACCTTGTCATCAACCAATATAGCATATTCAGTATCACAACAATCCGCAGACAAAGTCATAAAAGGTTGACAATTACACGGCTAAAAACGCATAGGTTGCTCCAAGTTGATATCGACAGGCGCAAACAATGTTGTGCGGCCAACTATGAACAAGTTGTCAACCAAGTTGTTCCAAGTTGTTACAGTCGAACAATGCTGTAACAACATGTTAACAATACTGTTCATAGTGGGCCGCACAACCTTGCTCACGCCCGTTGATATCAACCTGGAACAAGTTGTTCATTTTCTCAATTTTTACGCGTGTAGCTGATTTTTATTTTTTCGATAATATCATGCCTTCTACTTCATGTAATTCAAACATCATTGCATTTGCAACGACAATTTCCGAACATATTACGAAAGGATGCCGAGGGCGTAGCCCGTAAACAGAGTCATTCGTTCTAGTATGAGCCCGCGCTACTATGGTCAGTGCGTGTAATAAAATGTTTGAATTACATGAAGTAGTAGGCATGATATTATCGAAAAAATAAATAATCAACATAATTTTTATCGTGCACATCATAATGTACAATAAATAGCAAATGTGTACTATAGTACATGATTTTTGATAATCTTGTGAAGCTGTTTGACGTTCATTGCGGTTTCATCAACTTGCATTTTGCAAACCTTAATATCTAGCGTTTGTTTGTGTAGCGAGACAGATGCCAATACATATATAAAATTATATGAAGCCCACCACTATATAGAATAATGGCTAATCCTAGTCCTAGATAACTATATGATGGAAAAGTTGTAAATATTCGTTCCAAGAAACACAGTTTTTTCCACACAATTAAAATGAAGATAAAATCCACATAAATGGTATCCATATTATAATTTTCATCTGAAGATCCGAAGTAATAATTATAGATAATTTTCATCCGAAGTTGAGTGTCCAATGTAAACTAGTTGTTTTTGTCCTGTGAGCTATCTGTAAGTCCGTAGATAGCAAGTTGCTTTTGGATGTAATGCAATGGGTACGTAAATTGAAGAACAGTATAACATTGTTTCGCTGGAATAGAGGGGTGAGGGTTTCCAAACGGAGCGCTCGCGAGTACGTGAAGATAGTGAAATATAGTCTATAAGAGCTTTCCAAGATATTTCACGATAGCACTAAATGTACGACTCAATCCAGAATCTTGGTTACTTTAGGTGCCTCAGACTGGGCCAAATGGCCTCCAGTAAATATGTTAAAATAGGCCTTCCTTTTGGGAAAAATCCATGTGTCATCAAATTCATCTAACGACCAAAGTGCAGCTGCATGAGTGGACATCATCAAGCGAACTTCAGGAGTTGAGTCAGTTGACTGTCAACTTTAGAAAATTAATAAGTCACTCTTTAATTGTTTTTATTTTAATAATGTACACAGAACCTATCTTATTGTTCAAAATTAAGTTTTTCCGAACGTTTTTATATAGACGCGAGAGAAGACGTCTAGAGGACAAACTTCAATGTTTATTTCATTTTTCTGTCTATCTATTTCTGGTTATATTTGTATAATTTACACATGCAGTCGGAAACTTACAACCAACTTATATAAACTAAATATATCTATATATATATATGAGCTTTTCTGTGAGATATACCGGTTCTAAAACCATTTCTTTCACTTCGTCTTCGAGTTGTAAAACAAAAGTATTTCAAATTTTCAAGGCCAAGCGGTTTTTGGCCGAACAAATTGTCAAGACATTGTAACAGGGGATAATTAACTGTTTACAGGAAAACATGTGATTTTGTAAGTTTCGTCTTTTGGAACTATACAGGTATTTAATCATACCTTAAATGTTATGGATCAGTATTTTCAATTTACCGTAATTTTTTTCAGTTTTTTTATTCAAATGCAAATGTTATTTATACATTAAGTAAACATATATGAAATTAAAAGTCTATTAATTATAAAAGGTGAAAATTCATGACGCATATCATAATAGCCTTGATAATCAATTCCTTTCAGGCGTATAGTGCAAAGTTGAAGATGAATTTCAGTATCAACTTGAAGCACTTACCAGTGTATTTTATCTTCTTCTGTGGTGTCATTTCTCATGTACTTCTTTTGATTGCATTCATAAAAGATCCTCTCAAATGTTTCAGAAATTCTGCAACATATCTCGTCGCAAACCTCGCAGTTGCTGATCTCACAATCTCGTTATGTGGACCCTTCGTGATACCAGGAACGTACGTACATTGGAGTTTATATATCATTTGGCGCATTGAAATGACTGTATCTTTTTCAACAATTGTTTCAATTGCAGCAGATCGGTTCCTAATGGTTGCTTTTCCATTCAAACATCATTCCTTGATGAACGGCAAGAAAATAATGACTTGGATACTATTAATTTGGGTGCTATCTTCCAGTTCGTGTGCGAGAATATTCTTCTTTCCTGGGGCAACTGAATATCACTCTTCTGCAGCAGCAACAGCTTTTGATGTTTATGTGACAGTAATCTTAATGTTCATTACAGGCCTTTTGTACGTGCTGACCTCTCTCTCGCTGCGAAAGCAAGCAAGAAATCTATAGCTTTGCATAACTCGGCAAGTGGGTCAAACACTCAAGGAATTCGTGAGTTAAGAGAGAGGCGGTTTTTGAATACAATACTATTGGTAGCTTGTATCGCAGTCATCGGCATTGTTCCTTTCACGGTTTTGGTTGGAGTTCTTAAGACGAAGGGAATTCATTTTCAGCGAACGCTCGCCATAGATATACTGTGGTATTTCTTAATCACATTATTCTATTCTACCTTTGCCATAAATCCTTTGGTATATTTCCTGCGTTTGCCAAATTATCGTAAAACATTTTTTGCACTGTACTGGAGACGCATGTCGCATTAAAACGGCATTAATACGGCTGGTTAGTTAGTTAGTTATAGTTAAAAGTTTATTTAAAGAGGGAAAAACAAACAATATTTACACAGTTACCACTAAGGTATTCTTCTGTATGTCCCTCACAAGATACTATATACATGTATATGACTATATAGGTATATATAGGACATGTTTTATGACCTGTTACCAAAGCATTGGCAAAGCATAACATGTTTGCATATAACGCAGGAAAATTCATCCACATGTTGTACATGTGGTTCAATTGGAGAAAGAACTT